GGCAGGCTGGGGGTCTAGGAAGTGTGATGGATTAGATGCAGTGTTGTTCCAAGGAAGCTCAGAAATTCCTTTGTGCGGCTTTGGGGCAGAGTTGGGTGTCTCCCAGCCATTAGTCTTTCAGCCTTTTTTCTTATCACATCAATCTCTGGGAGATTAACGTTGACTTTACACTCTTTCAAGTCATTCTGACAAGTGTGCATGGCAGTGAATTCTTCCATATCAAGAGTGAGACAAATTGTGCTGCGCTGCATGTTATGGCGTAGTATTACTAATTGTTTAACTTGATAAATGTTGCCTGGTAGGTTATGGAGTTAATGAACAAAGATGTTAATTGCCCTTATCTGAACTAGCTGTGTTTGCAGGGACTTCGTCTGGAGCCGTGGATGTCTCTTAACAGAGATTTATTTGAAATTGCCCATTGTTTTCAGCAGTTTCAGAGTCCATTGCCCTTCATTGTGCTGACTGAATAGTCTCCACCCCCATCAAAGTTTTGAGACCAATCAGCTCTTCGTACATGCTCTTCATCAGGACTGAATCTTATTTAGGTATGGAAAACTTCTATGTAATACAATATGCTCATCATCCTGGGCTACAGCAGCATGGCTCATTCTTAAGAGCAGCCGAGGAAGAAATAAGCACCTGTCAGTAGAAGAACAAGGGTCTGGAATAGCCCCGTTTCCCCCCACCATCTGGAGTATTTAATTGGGAAAATCATTCTTCATTGTTGCTGTGTTGGTGGGAGTTGTCAGACTAAATATGTTTTAATGCAAATAACCATCTATGCTTGTAGAATCCATCTTTCCTAGATACTTTCTTTGGAAAATACACAGCTGAGGATTTAGTGCATTATTATATGAGTAAGTGCATACAAGCCCTGTATTAACAATAGACATCATGTTTATTCTTTCCCTTTTAGAATTTCCCATGAAAGCAAGTAGGCAGATTTTTGCATTATTGAGTAGTCTGCTGCTGCTGACTTTTTCCCAGAAACACTAAGGGAAAACTATCCTTTCGTGTGAGCCTGCATGTTCTTGAAGTTTTGGGAGCACTGGATTCCCCTAAGATTTGATTTATAGTAGGTTTTGGTTTGTGACTATTCTGGTACAAAGTTGTTTCAAAGCTGTATGATTAATAAATCTTTATGGAACTGAAGAAAGACAAAGTTCTCACTGAGGTTAAAGCATACCTGATTTCCCAACGGAGAAGTTGCATGTTTCGTTAGGAGGCTAAAGGCTAATGTGAGGAGAAAAATGTTTCCTTGACTTAGGGTTTTTGTTTGTTGTAATAAATTTCATTTTCATTTATGAGTCTCTTGCAGAACATGTTCAACAGCAAACAGCCAGAAGTTAAAACTGCAACTGTAAATCTGTAAGCTGACATATGTAGATACTCCAGCCAAAGTTTCCAAAGTCAGGATTAATTTTGTAGAGTGAATGAGAACAGTGCATTATCTTGTTTCATTTGATAAATTTCAGACTTTGCCAAGAAAGATAAATATCTATTCAAAACTGACAGCTATAAAAATAAAAATTATTATCTTTTTCGAATAAAGGCATTTTCAGGAGAACTTGATGTATTACCGCTGAAAGATGCAGTGGCTTTTGACTGTCTCATATCATTAATTAGACTGAAATATTCAGGTCCTCACTGCTCGCTCCCTTCCCACTGCTGCCCCCTAATTTATGTTAGCATACTAGTTTCTGGTTCCCATTGGAACTGGGGCCCGAGGAGCTCAAGTAATCTGTCAAAAGCTGAATGGGGGTTCCCTGATGTACCTGATGCCACAGCCAGGCAAATACTTGTGTGGGCAGAGAGAAGTGGCTGCATGGAGTTGGGAATGCTGCTTAAGACTAGTGTTGATGCCAGATGCTTTGTGGTGACCCACTGAGGATCTGTCTCATTTTTGGTGTTCTCAAGTCTCTGAATCCACATTTCTGGTCTTGTGTTTTGTTTTAATTTCAATTTCCCATGGAGCAACCTGGGGGTGAGGATGAAGCTCTGGGGGGATGTGTGTGCAAGCAGGACCAACAGGAATATGAGAAGGTCCAGCACTTGCACTGCTTATTTATCGACCACAATGATTCACCGTGAGCTACGTTTGCATACCTGAATGTCAAAATAGCCTGTGTTTTAAGAGGAGCCAGTGACTCAGGCTGTGGTTTTACCTCAGGCCATTTCCTGATAAATGGCTGAACTGTGCTTGGTCTTGAGAAAACACAGCTGGGGAACACCGCTCTGTCCTGCCTCCATATGTGTGCAGCAGTTAGGGAAAGGACACTGCTGTGTGGGGCTGACCTTCACCTCCTTGGTGCTGTGGTCTCTCTGTGAGGACCACCATGGCTCTGTGGGGACAGGGAGGTCTCAGGTCTGAGGGCAGCTGTTTCAGCTCTGTACAACTCTGGTGTGTGTGATTGTCAGTGTTTGACACCATCTAGAGGAGGAGCCTTCAAGGAGCTCCACGCAGTGATAAATCACTTTGCTTTAGACTCTTGATTGCAAAACCGAGGTGAAGCTGCCTATAGCTGCTGTTTTCAGAATTGAAAACACTTCCTAGAACATGGTATTTCTAATGAAAACAGAAATAGTGCATATGACGGTGCTTATAGCGATTGAAGTAGAGTTGAGCTATTAATTTTTGGAATAAGATGTCAAACAACTTTATTAAAGCTTTGCGTATGTTATGGCTAGATGAAAGGTATGGAAGTGGAATCATATGAATGCCGTATCAACTACCCCATTGGCACAATGCTTTTATTTGGAGAGATGGACCACCTGTGTAATTCCATGTAGTCTTCCCACCCTTTGCTAACTGCAGAACTCTGTTTCTCCATTCCCCTTAATGAAAAGGACTGTCCTCTGAGAAGAGGTTTATGCCTGGGATGAAATAACTTGTGTATGGCTGTGATTGAACTGGATCAGTTGTCCTTACTGCTGTTTAAATGGATGGTTTAAGGTATAGAAGAGGCTTCTCTTGGGAACAGATTCTGTGAGAATTCTTCAGATCCTCTTTGAAGTTAATGGAGGGTATTAAGGGCAGTCAGCACCTTAAGAGAGAAATTTAAATTGCTTTGATTCATTTCATTCCATATTTGTGTCGGCTGGTTCTGGATTTCTCCCTTCTCCGGTTTTTCAGAGCATGTTTTTGATAACTTTTCCTCCTGAGCATACTAGATTTTATGCTGGCTGTTTTCATATTTTCCCTGAGTGTTATAATGCTGATTACCAAAGGATCTTGGGCCTTTGGCTTCCTGTGAAAACGAGATAATTACTCTCCAGTAGGCAGTGCATGACGTAGAGTATCAGCGTTAAGCCACTGGGATTCCAGTCACTAGTGTAGAACAATATTGTGGGTAAATGAATAAGCAGAAGTTTATCATACTTCCTGCATAACAAGGTTTTCGTTAAAGAGACAGTGAATATTGTTTTCGGTGAGGGCTAGTGTAGAATGAACACTGCCACTACAAACATTACTGAGAAAGGTATTAAAGTTCAGTTCCCTGCCTTGCTGGGGTTTTCTTGCTGAAAAAAAAACAACTGACTTTGTGTAGCAGCAAAGGTGGATGACAGGCCCTTCACTGCATTTTGGCAGATGACGTTATGGCCTTGTGAACATGTATGAAGTGTATAACTTCAAAGTACGATTCCCAGATGCACCACCTACTTAACTTATGGAAGAAAGCCGTACCAATTAGAAGCAGAGACGTTCTAAATGCAACTTGCTTGTTTCACACTCGCCCCCAGGAATCCTGTGTTGTGATTTTAAAGAGTTGGCCCCGTTTGACCCTGAAATAGATGTGGTTTCTCCCTTGCCTTCTTTATTTCAAGGCTGTTGGTTAAAAATACTAATGTATTGGGCACAGTGGGAGTAAGTTTGAGAAGTTTAACTTATATGTAAACTAGTAATAGTGAGAAAATAATTCATAAACGTGATGAGCTTTATTCTTTTTCAAGTCATGTCCAATGCAAAGGGTTTCCACATGGTGGGATTAATCATTTTTTGTAAAAAAAGAGTTTCTCTGCCATAGCAATACTGATGAGTTTGCTTATGCTGTAGCAAAGCGAAATAAATGACATCTTTGAGGACCTCTGGTAAATACATTACTTAAACAACATGAAGACTTGCATAAAGTATGGTGTGTGTACGCATACTCAATAGATACACAGCTATATCTCTGTGTATGTACTTACGTTTAGGACATAAGTTTACATATGTTTGTGTACATTTATATTTAAGGTTATCTCAGAGATAGTTGTACTTCTGTAATGACTAAGAATTTAGGGGGTACTAATAAAGAGTTTCAGGTTTGTTTCCTTGCTACCACCAATTTATGTTGTACATGTGATTGCGAAGTTACTTATTTCTCTTTTAATTGTGACTTTCACTTTAAACTGGGCATCAGTAGTCTGTGAAGGAAACCAGTACTTACACACAGGCTGAGTAGGTTGGTTGTTCTGCATTTTGCTTGAGTCCAAAAGCTGAAGGTTGAATCTTTAGAGCCCCAAGAACCACTTTTAAATTTAGCAGTCTAGGTCTGGATGATGTGCTTGATCAACTGTGCAGGAAGAGAGAAGAACAATTGGAATAAAACTACTTTAATATAGTACACTGCTATTCTGTATGTGTGATTGAGGTGCTTCTTCGTGCACTGATAGCACATGCATGGCCAGACCCCTTCATTCTTCCTTCAACTTGAAATTAGGTTCCATTGATTTTGGGTCCAGAATAAATGCAGTTTGACATTTTTGTATTTCAGGCACCTTGGTCTAACCTGGTTTTGTTTTTGTCTGAGTAATCTTAACACTTGAATGAGTTGGATGAAGGTGTCTGGATGAATCTGTCCGCTGAATGGCCTGTACAGGAATTTTGCTTTCCAATTAGGTATCTTGGAGATATTTTCAACACCAAGAATAACTTTGACAGTGCTGTTCTTACCTTGAAATTGTGAAACTTCTGATGACTAATTAAGCATTTTTTTCCCCTCTCTTATGTTTTCTTGTAGCCAACTGGGTACATGGAAAACTCCATTTCCTACAGTGCTATTGAAGACGTTCAGCTGCTCTCCTGGGAGAATGCCCCTAAGTACTGTTTACAGCTCACGATCCCGGGGGGTACTGTCTTACTGCAGGTACAGTAAACATTGAAGTGCAATTTTCTTTCTCTCTTACTATGAATCTCCTTTAACTTCTGTTTGCTATGCATGAAATCTAATTAAATGGACTCAGAAAAGGCAGAGAACTTGATGCTGTCAAATTATCTAACCACCAGAAAATTTGCTCAGGGTGATAAGTCTGAAACTCTTCATGTTGTTTGACAGTTAGAATGGAAATTTTGGGCCACAGCGATTAAATCTTCTTGCTGATTTTGTGCATAAATACTCTGTGGAAAGGCACACTGATGCGGGGCCTGGAACGATCGTATTTTTACATATAGTCCTATTACTGCACGAAACAAGTTAAAAATGTCATCCTTCAATTCATATAGGAAACCCATAATTTGCACTGATTCTGACAGGTATCTTTTTAAAACGGATACATGATCTTCACTGGAAGATACAGTACATTTGTATGGATGTCTACTTATGCTGGTTCTCTAAGTGTGGTTTTCAAACAGAACACGTTGTGTTTATGTTACTCCAGATTTCCTTGTCGACTTGTGAGGCTTTGTAAGACTCCTTAGGTCACTGCAAGTTTTAGAGACAGAAAAGCACTCCACAGCACTGAATTTTGGAGCTGCTTTCAAGTAGGAAAAGAAAAGCGATCGAAAACCCAGCTGCAGTGCCCCCAGAGGACTTTGAACAGCCATAACGTAGGCTGAGTTGACTCCAACTTAACTCTTACCATAGTTCTTCACATTGTTTCAAAGACAATTTTACATGTTACCCTTTGGGAATTTACTTTTTCACTTAAATATACAGCCATGACTATTGCAGGTAGGACTGTCAAGAGACTGGGTGAGCGATTTCTGCAGAAAATGGAAAGATCAGTTTAAGCTGTGGATAACTCATGAAAAATCAAATAGGATATTTTTTTTTCTTGAAAAAGTAAGAATCACTTCAAAGGTTTGATCGTAATAGAGCTTGTGTATTGGGATGTGTACACTCAAACATTGACTATATATATATATATATATATATATATATATATATATAAAACACTTCTGCACAAAATGTAGTCCAGTAGGTGAAAAGGCAGGAGCATAGTGAATGATACCCTAATGATTGTGACAACCATGCCTGCTGTATCCTTTGTCCAAGAGAATCATGGTACACACTGCGCTGATCCATGGGGCACAGTTCAGTGTTTAATCATTTCTTATTGGTGAATTGTTTGCTGGAGCCCCTGAAGGGCCACAAAGTATGTGACACCATCTGTATTTAGAGAGGATTTAGTTAAAGCTCTTCTGAAGTGACTTTCTTCATAACCTGCAGATCGTGAGAAAAATAACCCAAGTGGTGTCAATTCAGTAACCCAGGGGTAGGTGCCAAGCTGGTGTATGTTTTCCATACTGAAGACTTCTGTAGAGACATAGAACAGCAAACTTGACTCTGAGTTGGGAAGCCAATATGACTAGCACTAAGTCATGCTAATATTAGGTCCAGCTCTCCTTCGCTTTCATTTCAGACAGGCTGATGGGTCTGTCTGTACACGGAGCTGTTTAGCAGCAGCCCAGTCAACACAACACTTCAGCACTTCACATGGATCCTGTGCCTGGGGTTTGGAATGTCATGAGGTTTTGATGATTTTCAGCATAGCAAATTTCACTCTGAAATGCTTAGAGGTGTGCATGGAAACATTTGCGGACACTTCCTTTGTGAAGTGTATTTCCAGAGCTCTGCTTCTCTTTTCTTCACTGGTGTAATCCTGCGGTTTTCCAGCCCTGTAAAAGGATGCTGCAGCCATTCCCCCATTCTAATCCAAAAATGGTTTAGTAAAGTATGTTTGGGATGACATGAGAACTCTCCTGATCTATAGGTGGCATTTATGTGTCTTTCTACATGTCCTTGAAGCACAGGCATGTGCCTCATTGCACGTGGAGCCATACATAAACACCTCTGCTTGGTGCTTATTGAGTTTCTGTGGCTCAAAATGACTTACCAATTTTAAGCATGACTCGGGAGGGGGGGGTATAGGGAGTCTGAATTTCAGACAGGCTGCTGCAAGTCCACCTATGTCCTGATTCTGTGGTGTGAAAAGCCTTTACTGTGTGTGACATTGGGGAACACATGAAGATGAGCCATGGTTTCCCAACAGCTAGATTAGAGTCCTCATTGATGAAATCTTCTTTCCCCTATCCGTTAATTTAATTAATAACAAACTCATTTGTCAAGTTGATGGGTGATTTTAATATTTTTCTTGTGATAATGTTGACTGGTTTTTCCATAGATTTCCTTAGTGGCTAGCATTTATGTCTGTATCTGTTTCAACAGCTGGAATAGTTAGACCTGTCTTTACAAACACCCTTTCTAAGTATTCTCTAGTCTGTGGTAGCTGCCTTTATGGCCTTGCTTAATAGGAAACAAGATAAAAGTTGGAACCCAGAGCTCCCTGCTGAGTTTAAAGGAAATTGGTAGGGTGTGTGGACTTTAATCCGGAGCAGCCTGACATTTGTTTCTTTAAATAAAAGCCAACAAACGGAACACACAAATAGTTGCATTTGTGAGAAAGCAACATTTTAGCATGGAAGCTTTGGTATTTTCTTGGAAAAGATCTGTGTCTTTATGTAACCTCATAGGACTGGCGAAAGAAGTGGAGTGAGCTGGGCTTCTGTTATGTTTATTGCTGACTGGCGGAGCAGACTGGATCAGGTTACATTAGAACTCTAAGGGAATTTCAGCATAATTGAAAATACAAACGTTGAAATTGTTTTTGGTATGACTTGGTCTTCGGTAGTGTCTCGATTCATCAAATGTGGCCAGATTAAGGGAATATAAAAATAGTTTTCCCTTATACAGTTGTAATGCGTATTCAGAAATCCAAACCAGTACTAAAAGTTGTGTTTAGTATACTTAAGAGATCAAGATCCAAAAAACTTGATTTACCAAGTAGCTGAGTTCAGCTGATGCTCTCCAGTACATGTAATAGCGTCTAAGCATCCAAAAGATGAGCTGAGGAGCTGGGGAACAGAGATGCCAAGAAATCAGTGCTTACATACTTCAGTTATTTCCAGTGTTCCAAAAGACTTCAACATGTTTATGGGAAATGGGGACTTCCGATCTTTTACAAAGTCATTCTGCCCTGCTAGCTGGAGCAGCGGCATTCTCTGATGTAATGTCCAACTCTGGTATGAGGAAGTGTATGATAGTGGAACAAGTCAAACTGGTCCAAAACACGTACTGTTTCTGAAGTGTGCTTTTGGTAAAATCTGTTTGTTTTGTTAGTTTGTTTGTTTGTTCCCAAGGTCTTGATCTAAATGAAGTTCAGATATAGAAAAACATTTAAATGAACTGTTTGGACTTCCCCCAATTTATTTAATATTTCTGATTAATATCAGTTTCATGTTATGACATATGTTTTGCACATGCTGCATCATAAATTCTTTAATAGCAGGGGATACTGTTGGTGTGGTTTGACATCTAGGGAACTTATAGGCCAGTCAGCCAGACCTTGGGAAGGTTTTGGAGCAAATCATCTTCAGTGCAATCATGGGGCATGTGCAGGACAGCAAGGTGACCATGCCCAGTTCACATAGGTTTATAAAAGGCAGGTCCTGCTTGACTAACCTGATCTCATTCTATGACAAGGTGGCCCACTTCGTGGATGAGGGAAAGGCTTTGGATGTTGTCAGCATATACTTTAATAGAGCGTTTGATACCATTTCCCACAGCATTCTGCTAGAGAAACTGGCTTCACATGGCTTGTGCATCTGCTGTTCACTGGGTAAAACCCGGCTGGGTGGCTGAGGCCAAAGCATGGTGGTGAATGGAGTTAAATCCAGGTGGTGGCCTGTCACAAGTGGTGTTGCCCAGGGCTCAGTTCTGTTTAAAAACTTGAACAGTGATCTGGATGAGGGGATGAAGTTGGGTCACAACAACCCCTTGAAACGCTCCAGGCTTACGGAAGAGTGGCTGTAAAACTGCTCTGTGGGAAAGGACCTGGGGTTGCTGATTGGTGGAGCTGGACATGAGCAGCTTGTGCCCAGGCAGGCAAGCCAACAGCATCCTGGTCTGTACCAGCACCAGTGTGTCAGCAGGACCAGGGCAGTGGTTGTGCCCCTGCAATGGGCACTGGTGAGGCTGCACCTCGAATCCTGTGTTCAGTTCTGGGCCCCTCACTACAAGAGAGACATTGAGGTGCTGGAGTGGGGACAGAGAAGGGCAGCGGAGCTGGAGCACAAGTGTGATGGGGAGCGGCTGAGGGACTGGGGAAGGGTTAGTATGGAGAAGGTTCGGGGGACCTTATCGCTCCCTATAGCTGCTGAAAGGAGGATGGAGTAAGGTGGGGTCAGTCCAAGTAAGAAGTGATAGGTTAAAAGCAGATGGCCCCAGGTTACGCCAGGGGAGGTTTAGGCTGGATACTAGGAATAATTTCTTCATGGAAAGCATTGTCAAGCATTGAAATAGGCTACCCAGGGAAGTGGTTGAGTCACCATCCTTGGAGGTACTTAGGAGCCCTGTAGATGTGGTGCTTAGGGACATGGTTTAATGGAGGTGTTATGTTAACAATTGGACCTGCTGATGCTAAAGGTCTTTTCCAACCTAAATGATTCTATGATTCCATGATTCTGTGACAAACACAAGAGTCTATGTTCAAGTTCTCATTCCCCCTGTCTGCTGTCACCAAGCTCTATTTCTGGCTCATTACTGCACAGTAATGAGTCAGAGAAGGAAGGGTGCCATTACCTTTCCTTACATCATCCTGATGTCCTCCCATAGCAATACTGACCCATGCCAACCTATTTTAACACATGAAACCTGACAAGCAGCACCGGAGGTGATGCAGCTCCTCCTAGGAAATCGGATCGTGATCAACAGGATGTGTCTACCTGGGTTTCAGAGGAGGATTTGGTTCTCATGCAGCAGTAGCTTAATCTGGGCTGGGATTGCATCGAAAAGGCATCTTTGTGCCTGTGCTTCCCACTCGGTGTTAGTTGCTACAGCTCAACTATCTGAGCACAGCCGTGTTTCAC